CTTGTATTTACCAGTATTTTCTTTCTTCCTTCCAATTTTTACTCTGTGTCTTCAGGCAAAATAATTATGACACACAGTACAGCAGCCTGTGATTTAAAGACAAACGCACTCCATTCTACAACCTTTTACTGGAAAGAATCTCCATCTTTTTCCCTAGTATGGGCCAAATCTTATTAGATCACCTTTTCTTCCAGTCAGAGGCACAGTGATCACCCCTCCTAACAAGTACGAGCACGTAACAGCTCTAGAACAACTGCAAATACAACTCAAGGCAACACGATATACTGACGAATTTTCTGTTTGTTTGTTAGATACTTGCAAGTAGGGTATTTTTAACTACCCTTCCAGGCAAGTTAGCACCAGGCTGGTGCCGGGGAGGGACAGAAAAAGGGTACGGTTAATAACGTGGGTTTGGCCAGTACTCCTTGATCCACCAGCAAATGCTCTGAAGATTAAAGTCTGAGGAAACACTGAAAAAAGGACCCGTGTTGATCAGCTTTCAGGGAATCTCTGAAGAACATTTATAGCAACACTACGTGTTTCAGCAGGCATATGTGCCTTACGCTAACACTGATGAAGACTATTAAGTGCTTACATAAATATAATGCAAAATGTGTAAAGAACCAGGAAAATTTGGAAAGATATGTCCACCTGGCTCTGTGTGGGAAGCGCCTGTGCAGCTCAGTCTTTCTGCAAAGCACAGAAACTGCCTCTTGTGTGGATTAACAGAGCATTTCCACAGTAGATGTGTTGGTTTTCTTTCTTCACGGCTTATTCTTTAAATCACTTAGCTTAAATCTATATGATTTTAAGCATTAGATGATTCCAAAAGCAGGCCAATTTTGGATAAACAGGTCTCGTTTCAGGATTGCAGGATTCCAAAGTGTGTGTACATAGATACATAGTTAAAAGACTTAGATTTAATCCTGACTTGCAGAAATACCAGTAATTAATTGGAATAATTCAGTAATCTTCTGGAAGCATTTGTTTTTGATCCAGTAAGATATTATATTTGCTAGACGTTTCTATCATTGCACTGGCCCTCAGATATAACAATTCCTTGTGAAATTAAATAAAAACACATAACCTAAAAAAAAGGCACGTTATGCAATAAGGCATAAATTTAAGCTGTTGAAATCGATGCAGTTCTACACAAGGACTACTCTCCTGTGGGCAGAACAGGGCTTACTTTCAGTGTAGCTTATGTTGCTTTGGAAGCATGTTAAACTAAGCTCAAAAAGCCACTGTCCATCCAGGAATGATTATTGGTACACGAGACTTTACAACAGCTGAAACTACTGGGATTTAACCACAGCAATACTGGAGACAAAGTCTTGGGTGACGTGACCGTGCACTGAGAGCCAATGAGTGCTCTTCAAATTCCCACGTTTCGGTTGGTTGGGTTATTCTCCTCTTTCAGACGAGAGAACCTCCTAGCATGTTGCTAAGTATTTTTGGTGTGTAACACGTAACATGGACATCACAATGAAATATATGCATTAAACTTGGCGATGACACCATCGGTCTGTTAGAACAGGTTAATGAAACCACAGCAGTGACAACAGCACGTATGACCTGTACAGGTCACTCACACCCCTAAAATTTCTTACGGTACAATAAAATAAACTGCAACGATTTCTCTTTTCAGTGCTATAGTGCAAGATTTTCCATCACAGTACACTCAGTTTCAACTTTTAATTTAAAAAGAAATCAATAACAGCCACGGACACATTAGGTGTTCTACAAAATACTTCTTTTTGTATTTGTTATGCATTGTCAGCTAAAGCAAAGACAGGACAGAAAAGAAATGGAGAAAAAAAAGCCTTACCCTCATGAAATGAAGAAGAGTTACCCATGGCAAAGAGATGTAAATAGGAAAAGCTGGATGAAAGATGTGTGGAAAGGAAAGTAAAGGCATCACTGAAAACAGGGAAAAAGAAAACAAAAGAAGAAGTGAGGAGGAATGGGGAACGGTTCCTCTTACACAATATATTCTGAAGCCTAGTTTCCAAAATTTTTTTGTAAGGATTGTGGAAAGAAGCAAAGGCATGAACAACAGTGGTAACAGCTGCCATTATCTCTACAATCAGCAGTGATGTTGCTGAACAGGACTTGCTCTTGTCAGTACGGATCGAGAAATTGTAATCAGTGCTGTATTATCATCAAGTAATTTAAATGCCAAGTCACAGCTCTGCAGAATATGCTGGTGAAATCATACCACGCACTAACATCTACATATAAATAACTTTTTCTATATGCAACTGACAGAACATTATGCACAGTATTAAACATCACCTCAGCCTTGCTCAAGCATTTGTGGCTTTCCTGATTGGCAAAGTTGTGCAAGAATGCTTTCAAAGGTGTTTTTAAGAGGTGTGGGGTTTTCTGGTTAGACAACACTGATCCACTGGTGGAGTATTACTTAGAAAATCATTAGAAAAATGCTGTTTCCGAAACAAGCGATGTTTAACACACTGACCTAAAACAGGGGACCTAGACAAAATGCAAGGGCTAACGGAGGAATAAAGAGGAGCCCAGTAAGCAGAATGGTCACACACCCAAGCTGCTGCAAAGGTCTTTTAACTTGCATTTTCTTCAAAGGCTACTGCTCCGCCCCACCTTGTCTGTCACGTAGGTCTGCCCTAATTTGTGGTGTGCATTTGGCAGACTGAAAAGACAGCAAATGACCAGATTTAATCAGATCCATTGTGAGTGGAAGGATGAACCTTGGAGAAGCTGGGGCTGTCTTCCCATGGAGAACGTGCGACTGGAGCGACACTGGTAACATATACCACAGAGTTAAATATTCTTGGGACCCACACTGCCCAATCCATCAGTGTTTTGGAATACACTGGGACAACTCCACTCCCTCTTCCACCATTTTTACTAATCACTTGTTTAGCCACAAGATTTCTCCAACTCATTGTTCTTTTTGTAAATAAAGAGTAAGTCTAACACGTTTATCATAAATCTTTCCAACTACAGTGCCCATAAACTGTCCTGAACTTCAAACCTCTCCTCATAGTAAAAGACATTAATCCACTGTGAATTGTTTTGGCTTATTAAGCTTTAATGTATTACTCTACCTTCTCTTAAAAGGCTGTTTATTTCTTTAACAATATTTTACACAAGCCATCATAAACCTCCTGAAAATTCGTATCAGTTATGATCTTTGGGTCCCCTTTCATTCCACAATCATAATTTATTTCTGTTTTTCTTTTAACGAGTTGTCTTAACAGGCTAGAATGACACGATTTGCCCTTGTAAATGCCATCTTGGTTTGACCCTATCAAGTTATACTTGTCTAAGTATTCACACTATTTTATCCTTGGGCTCAATAGGTCCCCCCTTGTTAATGGTAACAGGAGGTCATCGGCTAAACCCTCTGCAGCATGTTATGCATGTGGTTTGTTTTACGGACTCTTGTTGGCTCCTATTCTCCTTTAAAAGAAAAAAAAAGGCAAAAAAAACCCCCATCTGAGTTCTGGAAATGAACAAACATTATTATAAATCAAATTTCTTACCTTGCCTTTTACAGCTTGTTTAAAAAAAAAAACAAAACAAAACCAAAAAACCACACCCAGAAAAATACAAAACACTCAAGGAAACTAGCACAAGGATTAAGAAAGTTGACTTCCCTCAGACCACTATATGCTATTTGCAGGGTTAACTTTCTCTTTCAAGTAACCAAAAGCTTACATGCTTTGAAGCAAATTTGTAAACATGAGTAACAAACACAAAATGGCAGAATTTGACTGCATTTCCATACCATTCATTTAGCTTAATCTCTACAATAAAAATGTTCATGCAGTTTATCACAAGCTTCTAACTTTCCACGTTTATCCCAAATGAAAATCTGGAAAAAACATTCTACTTGCTTCTCTAGAAGAATGGAACCATCATAAACCATAGCAAGAGCAGAAGGTGAAAAACCAAGCTGACATATGGATGTTGAAAAGCTCATAAAGCTATGTGAAATCAATTCAGTGTTTTATTGTTACACTGCAATTAAAATTCATCTATAACTTCAAGCTCTGCTTTCAAGACTGAAGAAAAGGCAGGTTTGGCTGTGGAGAAGACACTATTTTACAGGCACGTTTTAGGAATGTAGCAGTCTGGGTAGAAAGCACCACATTGAAACAGCATTTAACGTTGGCAGCGAAAGGTAGTAACGCTCACACACGTTCAGGGTACCCTGGTTCTGCCTCTTGCAAAACCGGGTCTCTCGCAGCACAGCTGCGACTGCGGGGCAGAGCGACGGCAGCAGCTGCCCTCGGCGTCTCTCCGAGCAGAGGTAGAAGATGGCTGTCGCTGCTTTCGCTGACAGCCCTGAGACAGGAGTCAGAGCACCTTGCTTTCCAAGTGCCACTTACAGCAGCACCCACCCCAGCAAACATCTCTCCTGTGCTGCCAACTTGAGAAGGAAGGAGGATAAGAGAAGATGGAAAAAAAACCTCCTTTCCAGGTGATTTCCCGATTAAACTGTTCGTGTTGCAGGAGCAGAAATTGTTCTATTCCAGAGAAATTTAGGCTGTTTTTAATTGGTGTTTGCAGTAAAAATTATTCAAGTTGGCCTGAGTTGGGTCTCTCTTCCTTTGTGTTGGAAAGTGCCAAGATTACTAACTGCACCAAACCCATAATCTTTTGCAGCATTAAAAATATGGCAGCACTAATATTACATCTGTTAAACTAGCATGACTTATTATCGTTGGCCTTCTCACTTGTTTCAGACTTCTAAACAGAAATAACAAAAGCTCTCCTATTCAAAAAGGCTCACAATTCCATATTTCCCTTTATTTATTTATTTTAAACAGAAAACCCCAACAAAACTTTTTAAAGTAAAGCTGAAATGATCCTTTAATCCTACAGTTAAAATCTGATATAAATGCACTCCCATCCATTGCCAAATCCTTAATCTGTCTTCTTGATCATAACAAAGTCACTAAAAAGCTGAAATTTACACCATAAATTTCCAAGTGAAACTATAAAAAGTAACTTACCGATGTCATTGCTTCTTTCAGAGGAGTCTTTCTCCAGAGCGCCGGATACTGTACTGCCCACTAATTCTACTTTTGGACTATCACTCCTGCATTTGGATGAAGAAGAAGAAATATTTTAACGGAGTTTTTGTGTGGGTTACAGTAAATTGATAGTCAAGTTGCAATTAATAATGAGAGAAGTAAATATTCTTCTTTTGTAGCACCAGAGTAATAGCAATGTGCCAGAGAAAGCAATCTCCAGTAAGGAGACATGCTGTATGGATTAACCTTATCTCATTTCTCCTTAACACCTGTCAAAAAAGCCTATTTTAGACACTGTAGAGTCCTGAATAATTCTTCAGTTGTTCACAGCATCTCAGCATGAAGGAAACCTTAGGGCAAAGGGACATTCTTCAACATCTCATTTGTAATTTTTTCTAATGAATTGACTTACATAAACTATAGCAATGGACTATCTAGAGTGCTACAGAAAGGGCAAGAACCTCAAGCTAGCATCATGCTTTTCAGCAGTTCCTAGCATTTACTCCCAAGTGCAGCTCCTCCACCACATCTTTACATGAGATTAGACTATGAATATTGTTTCTACAGGTCCAAAGGACCAAGACCTAGTCTGTCTGAAACGTCTTTGGAACAGGCAAGTGTCAAGAGTTGTGATACTTTATACAGAGGAACTATTTTTAAATCCAGCCGCAGATCAAACATAAGCAACATGATTATTCTTTCTTTGTAGAACTTTCTATCCCACAACTACTTAAATTTTCTAAAATAATCTGACTATTGAAACAAGTAATGAATCAAGGTCCAGTTGCAGGCGAGTAGCTCGGCATCGCACAGGTCACAGACAAACCCCTTTGACATTTACTGTGATAACAACTGTTCAATTAATGTAATAAATTATACTTACTGTCATTATCAGGTCACTTGACAAATGCAACAGTTTTTCAGAATGACTATTCCCAGCCTAGTGCTGTGACAATTATGATGTACATAAGCTACCCAAATTATGGGTAAAAATACAGATCTGCCCCTGAAACAACTCAGGCAGATGTACATTTCTATGAACAGCAATAATTAGCCCCTGACAGTAAAATACATGGTGAGCTCCTGAATCGCAGTGATTTTTTCATTTGTCTCTTCTTTTAATGCCATAAGCCGATGACAGATGGCCTGAACCTCAACTCACAGCAGCAGCTGATGAGCAAAACAGAAAGTGGTTGGAAACCCTATTTGACTTCAGGAAGCCTGTGATAGAGAGCCTGAAAATTTGTGTTAAAAACCGGAGGAAGTCGCGGATGAAGTGAACGTATATCCAGTTAAACACTGTGGTAGGATGACAAGTGTTCTATGGACTAAAAAAGATAAGACAACCTGTTTATGACCTGAAAAACAAACTAGTCCTACACAGCCAGCAATATGGCAGGCAGTCTGCACCAGGAAGGAAACAGAAGAAATCCAACACGTTCTTAGAAAGATAACATTAATTGGTGAGATGATAGACAGGGGTATTCTCCAAGTGATCTACCTGATCAATTTGCTTTCTTATTTTTTGGTCTTTAACTTCTTTTTTAAAAATTGCTTATATATTTATAAACCTGTAAGGAGACACATAGTTTCTTCGCTGACAGGGCAATGAGCACCTGACTGCGTAGCCTGTTTTGCACACATATATCTCCCAGCAAACTGAGAGCATCCTGTGAGTTGGAAGCGTTCTGGGAAATGTGCGAGTACGGTTTTGGAGAAGATTCTTAGGATGGTGTGATTAAGGGCTGAAAGTCACAACATTTACCATTTACCTACCAACGATACCAAGATATATGATACCAACTCCACCAAAAAAACCCAATTCTGTTGTCAAAAGAATCGACTGGCTTATTACGGCAATCTACATCTGTGCTGTTGCAAAAGGGGTGGAGCCATCACTCCGTGGTCACAGCATCTCCCTCCTTCCACTTGTGCCCATGCAGATAGGCTGTCAGCTTGATCAGACAGATGATCAGCCTGAAAGAAACCCCACACTAATAGAAATCCCACTGCAAACATTAATTGCCACCTGGAGCAACTCCCTGACCCATATGGCTGAACGGCTGCAAAGGCTGGTGCTAACATAAGGGAGGCTGCAGGAATGAGCTGCCAGGAGAAGGAACCTGCCCCTGTTAGCAGCAGCAATGGACCCAGATTGGTTTAGACTGATCGTAAAAATGTACTTTCTCTAGGTCTTTATGGCTTGCCTGCTCCAGAGAATTGACTCATCGGTGAACTGTATAATCACAGGTATGTCTAAATAAGCTGTGAAGCCTTTAGAGCAAATTGGCAGCTATTCTCTGGCCCACATGGTTTTTCTCTCTGCTACTGGCCCTGAATCCCTAACCTGGCTCCAAGGAAGGAGGATTATATTTAAATGGAAAAACAATCATCACCACAAAAAGTCAGTGAGATGCAGAAGATGCAAGCCACTTACTCCGAACAGAAAAACCCTCTTCTTCTAACCAGCAGCCATGAAATCTCATGGGACTCCCTTTATAACTACAGCAATTTTTCCCCCTAGGATCATGTACTGGTTTTGGCTGGAATAGAGTTCATTTTCCTTATAGCAGTCCACATGGTGCCATGTTTTGGATCTGTGACCAAAACAATGTGGATAACACCCAGATGCTTTATCTATTGCTGAGCAGGGCTTACACAGCATCAAGGCCTTTTCTGCCCCTCACACCACCTCACCAGTGAGGAGGCTGGGGGTGCAGGAGAAGTTGGGAGGGGACACAGCTGGGACAGCTGACCCCAACCGACCAAAGGGAAATCATGTACCATATGACGCCATGCTCAGCATGGGGCAAGAAGGAAGGGGGGGAGATTCGGAGTGATGGCATTTGTCTTCCCAAGTCACAGTTACACATGATAGAGCCCTGCTTTCTTGGGGTTGACTGAACACCTGTCTGTCCATGGGAATTGGTGAATGAATTCCCTACTTCGCTTTGCTTGCTCACACAGCTTGTGATGCACCTGTTAAACTGTCATTATCTCAACCCACGCGTTTTCTCACTTTTACACTTTTGATTCTCTTCCCACTGTGGGGAGTAAGCGAGCAGCTGTGTGGTGCTGAGCTGCACACTGGGGTTAAACCCACAACTGGTCCATGAAAATTCTGCTGGATCAACTTCTATTCTAACTGTCTTAGGTTTTTCAGATTCTGGAAATGGATACCAGCAGGACTTAAAAATAATTAACTATCTTATTAAACTGAACTGATTTAAAAACAAAATGCCTTTATTGAAGGGACTGCTTCTTAATTATGCAAGTAATTCAAAGTCTACTCCACGGATTATTTCATTATGTGAACTTTCTGCTCTATTCCTCTATGACATCCTTACAAGTTAGAGTTTACCAGGCAAAACAGCTGTGAGATAAACCCACTGATTTCAATTCCCTGACAAAGTAATTCACAGGGAAACCACTAGCACTGTGATCAGCAACATACATCATCATCATCACCTTAAAAATCACCTTTCTTTTCAAGTTTTAATCTAACTACTGTTAGAAGGAAAATTATTTCAAATGTAGTGGTCTTAGTTAAAAAGAATGAAGCTATTTTTTTCTGTGCTAGACACAGCAGAGTTTGGACAATTAAGACATGAAATCTAGATCAGAAATTTAGATCAGCTTTTTCACTTTGTTAACATGAAAACTGAAATATGTTTAAAAATGCATGGTTTATTTGGACAATTTTCTATTTAGAAAAAAGAAAACAGAAGCAATAGAACACCCCTCCAGAACTCTATATGTTTAAAATACTTATAGTATGCTTAAAATATTACAGGCAAAGGATAGAACAAAAGAATAGCTACCCTGCTGCATGCTTAGCCTGTGAACTGAACACTAGGGTAGGTATTGGTCTCGCCAAGAAGACATAACTTAGCTAAATCTAAAGGTCATTGCAAATACTTGCTTATCCAAGCATGCCCAAGTGACTAGCAGGTGTAGACTGTATTTTGGAACAACCGGGCAAGCATGTTCAAAGCCAAGGAGTCCGAAAGAAGCTGGGACAGTAGCACCTGGATAGAAGGGTAAGTCCTCAGACATGCACAGCCAAAGCACTTCAGTAAGATGAAACTGGCAGCACAAGGCAGGCACCATTGTCCTTATTTTGTGTCTCACTTTTCACACTGAAAGCATTTTTTTAATGAACCATATGTGGAGGAAGGAGGGGAATCAATGTCTAGGATTTCTATTTTATTCCATTCTACCCTATACTCCATTCTGTTTTTTTAATTCACTGTTCATATTTGAACTCCAGTAGTTCAATGGAAGCTGATTTTTCTAACAGCGCAGTAGTAAAATTATTCTATGCCTATATTCTAGTATTTCTGCAAAATGTGCAGCTCGCCCATTTTAGAAAACTGCTTTTTTCTGGTTTTCACCTGTTTCTATCCACTATACATAAAGGAAGTCTACAGTGCACAACACATGCTGAGGACAAACGTAGCCTTCTAGACTTTATGAGGACTACAGGTGAAGCCTTTAATTTCTGCAACCTCTGCTTTTCCAATTTCTGGCAAAGATTAAATGGAGGTGTGTTAGCAATTTCTCAGGTGCTCCTCAAAGGCTGTAACCACCTCTGATAAAGAGCATCAGGTAACTACAGAATAACAACCAACATCAGAGCAAAACAACTTGACAGCAGTATTCTGCAGTGGCACCAGCTTGAAGAACATTCTATGAAGACACATCTATTTTGCTAGAAACTGATCTAAAGTGATCAAAGAAAACAGACTGAAACCAAGCTGACAGTATTTGAAATATGCATTTGTCTAATGCTGTTCCTCAGTACAGTCCAAGCTTTTGCAGCGACTTAGTGCCAAGGCTAAGATGGAATAATCTGAGATAAACTAAGAAAGTCAACATCAGCACAACACACAGATGCAGGTATTTCCCACATACGCTGCAGTGGAAACGATGATGTTTCAGTAACAGTTTGGTTTTTATTTTATTTATTCTTTAAATCTAGTTGACTGTGAAATAAATTATAACATGAAGTGTGAAGTCTAAAATCTGTGTTTTTTCCACTAGTTTCAAAAGCATTGGACAGAGGAAAAACAGTACCTTGTATGAGTCACAGGCACAACTGGTCTTTCTGGTCGTCTCGGGGGCAAGGTACCAGGTCTATTCACAGAGTTTGCTTTGGGTGGCCGAGGTTTCTTCGGAGGTATAGCAGGAACTGAAGGCTTCTGCAACTCTAACTGTTTTTGCTCTCTCTCTGATCTTTCTTTAAATCAATTATTTTCAGAAAAAAAGAACATGGAGATTATTAAGCGGAATTCATTTGTACTCCTAAGTCTACAATTAAACAAAAAATCTTCAACTGTAGATATGCTGTTTACTAAGAAAAAGCTTATCTCCTTTCCACTTCTGTCCTAAACAACTCTTTATTTGAAGTAACATGTTTACCACAAATCAGTTGTTTGCCCTGCCCAACTGTTCTGCCTGTAATTCCTCACGGCTGAAATGTGTGCACAATGTCTAACAGGAATACTATTTTTTATTAGTAACTTACTGATTTCTGAGTGTAAATATAAGAATGGCAAAAAAATGCATACCATATGGAAAACCTTCCCATAAGCACAACTTATATCAAATTCTAATATGAAACAATATTAAGTTAGAAGTTCACAAAGATAATTATGCTGGATATTCTTAACATCTCTTGAACAAACAGAGAAATATATTTCTGAGGAGGGAGGAGGAAAGTGTGTTTCAAGTGAACTACAGTTAAACAAAAATAAAAGCAAAATAAAACTTAGCAATGTTTGGCAGGATATAAACCCCTTGTAAAGAACAGACTTTTTGCTTAGGTTTTTAAGCAGGCTTACAGCTCAATGTTTCAGCTTGCCAGTGAAAAACTGGATCATTTGCTGAACTGATAATGCAGAATTAGGAAGTGCCACAATACTAATATCCAATGCCAAACACTCAGTGCCTGCGAGTATGTCAAGTACAACACACATGAATAATTCTTGTAAATAATATGCTCTAAATCCATAATACAAAACAAACATGCAAACACGTTTGCCACACCATAGGAAACGTGATTCTTCTTAAGGAAAGGACAAAACTGCCCAAGGGACCAAAGTTTCGCTCTCTGTATCCTGCTGCGTCAACACCCCACTTCCCTTGACAACACTCTCTATGATACGTCGTGAATATTGTACCTTTGTATACAGATAAGAGGTATTGGGGATGTTACAGGGTATTGCTTAATGGGGTCTAGACTTCAGTCTGAGCGGATCATGGAATAAATCACCAGAAACACAATCCACATCAGATTTGAAATAGTCCAGTAAGGGACTATTGTTCACAGGCATATACCCTTTTTCAGTACATTTCCACTTGATGCAGTGGTTGGGTCCTCTGTAACACCAAAGCTTTCCCACCACACTGTGTAATTTTTACACACTTACTCCTCTGACAATTTATACTGCGTCAGTGTCCAAGAATCTAAACTATGTGTGAGGGATGGGCTAGGCAGCGTACCAACACACAGCGTAAAGACCATCCTGTGCCACCCCTGCTGCCACACCACGCTGAACAATTCCTGCCACTCCCCAGTATCCCAGAAATCTAGGCATGACTCCGACAGCCTCGTTTCAACATTTAGGAAAGTTACAGGTATTTATACCCTGGGACAATACTGTACTTAAACTTCCTCCACTGTTTTGTAAATCCAAAAATGGAAAGCAAAGGCTTTACTTGCTAAGATAACCACGAGAAGCAGCACACTTAACCAAAAGTAAACACATGCAGACAAAAGTGCTCAAACACCTGTCAGATCACTAAGACATATGTCCAGAAACATGTCTTGGTGCAAAGTCTGAATGATCTGGCACTGAATTACAACCGCGGGTTACACGTTTAGTCATGTGCATACACTTGCCTTTTAAAAGATCACAAGTTCAAATACTTAAAAATCAAGAAATCCCATAAATAAACTTGTCTGTACAATCTAATACTCCGCTTAAACGTATGAAACCTGACACCATCTTCAACTAGGGAATCAACGCAACTACTTTCCCCAAACTATTCAGAGCGCGCAGTGAATACAACGAACCACTGAAGGTTCTGCTCTGCGCGGCACTGTGCCCCATTTCTTGCCATGTTCAAACCTGGCTTTGAAGACAGAATTGTTTCATTTCTTCACAGGCTTGCCTGTGACTTTGGTGACTACAGTAATGGGGTGATTCATAAGCATTAATGATCATATCTTCACAAAACTCCGCTGTGATGCAGGAAAACCACTGATCCTGCTTTTAACTAGAGAACCAAGGCATATAGATGTTAGAAAAAAAAGGTACACACTAATTTGGGGTATCTTACTTGATCAAGGTCCTGGATTTTACTGAGCACAGAGCTTTAGACAGCATTTTATGTATTGAGAGCATATCTCCCCTTGACCTCAACTGAGGCTGCAAGTACTTAACAGCTCTGGATTGGCACAACTGAATACCCTGAACAAAAAGCAACAGTGAGATCCTTTCCAAAATGTGTATCTTCACAGATTTATCAGAGTGGGAAGTAAACATCCAAACAATGCACAATGAAAACAGGGGCTGGGAAATGAGGATGTGCCTCGCTGCCATCTCCCCTGTCTGCAGAGAGCAGGCAGGAAAGCACATTTCATACCTTTTTCTTCTGTTCGATTAGGAAGACATTCTGGCCTTTCAGGAGGTACCTTTTTGATTTCATGTTTTCGATCTGTGGTACCTGTCGAAGAAAGCAAAAATTTGAATTCTGAACAAGCCAACAAACCAGCATATACAGCCACATTAAATTCAATTCTGCAATATCTTTGGCTCTTTACTTTCTCCAATTTGAGTTTTTTTGCTGAAACCGAACATAAATCTAGTTTCAAGCATTTTCTTACATCATAATGACAAAAAAGCAATTGGATGGTTCTGTTTTCACAGTCAAGTTCAGAGCTTCCAAAACATGCACCTTAAAAAAAATAGGCATTTCAGACCATTCTGTGAAAAGAAAATAAAATTCAACAACTACAGATTTTTATATGTGGACAGAACCTTTACCATTGTAGACATACTTAACTGAAGTGCAGTTCAACAGTGTGGAAAATTGTTAGTAATAAATCAATTAATTGGGCGTTTCCCATACTTAATATCCCCCATACACAGAGCTTATTTTACATTAAGTTAACCTCCCCCTTCTTTTTCACATCTAGTACTAGACATTCACTTCCACTTGTTTTAAGGATGAGAAAGGTAGTACTGACAGCATTCTGCACAGCTACTTTAATTGACAGCTTTTGGCCTGGAGGTGTAAGCCTCTGCTGCCTTCTGCCTCTGTGCTACAGACCCTGACATACTGACTTTTGTTCCTATAAGGAATATGGGAACTTGTGGCAGCAACAGTGGGAAGATTTTGCAAAAATTTCCTGGCACATGCATGATGCCATATTCCAATCCCTATATTAAAAGAAATACTTTACTGGATATTGGCTTGCTGCACTGGCTAACTACTAGGTGCTAATGCCATTTCAACTTAGCAGTGCTGAAAACTGCTTTAGGTACCATCATTAGTATTTCAATAAATTACAGCAGGTGACATCCAAGAAAAGCAGAGAAGGCAGGGCAGGGAACCCAGGGCCATTTTTTGCTTCAGTCTATTCTATTGTATGCAGTTCTACAGCACATGAACATTTTCTGAATGTGCGGTCTCTCTTCTACAGCTGGTTCCTAGAAATCAGTACTCATCGGTGCAAATTGCTCACCAGTGGTGATCACCAGCCATTGTTTCTTTACAAACTGTGCTGTTGGACAGGAAACGCTGTTATCACTTATCATGTCAATAAATAATACTGAATTGCCATTTTACAGTTGGACTTGATGATCTTAAATGATTGAATGAAAAATGCTTCACTCCTGAGAGGAGAAATTGTTGCTAGAAACCAGTTAAAGCATTTCTAAACACAAGTTAGGCAAAGCACAAGTCAACATATTGATGATTTTGCACATACTAGACTGTTCAAGAAAAAGAGAGACACATACCTAATTACACTAACATTAACAGTCATCATGAACACACGAGGGACACTCTCAGGCATTGAGCTTACAAACTCCTAGGAGATCCCAGGGTCAGGTGTACTCCTGGCTTGAGCTGTGACCTCCAAGTTAATCAGTACCCAGGCAGGCACCATCATCCTGCCTTAGCTGCCAGGAGAAGGTCACCTTCAAGGAAGCTCTGGTGAACTCCCTACCAGCTCCCAGAGGGACTCAACAGAGTATTCCCATCCTCCTGTCTAGACCCAGTTGTATTGCTTATGCCTGCAACCCAGTGAAATGCCTACTGCTTTTCAGTGACTATGTAAGGGACTCGTGCTCCTGACTTTGGTTCTCCAGTTTTCACCTTAGCTTGTAAAGCAGCCCAGCACAGACAGCCCTTGCAGTCTACCACTGTGCAGAACTTAGAAACCCAGCCAACCTTCCAGCTATACTATAATACAGCCTAGACATCTCCTTTACATATATGCTGAGAGAATCGGGCTTGTTCAGCCTGGAGAAGAGAAGGCTCCGGGGAGCCCTTATAGCACCTTCCAGTACCTGAAGGGGCTACAAGGAAGCTGGTGGGGACTTTTTACAAGGGCCTGTAGTGACAGGACAAGGGGGAACGGGTTTAAATTGAAAGTGGGGAGGTTTAGATTAGATATCAGGAAGAAGTTCTTCACGGCGAGGGAGGTGAGGCACTGGAACAGTTTGCCCAGAGAAGCTGTGGATGCCCCATCCCTGGAAGTGTTCAAGGCCAGGCTGGATGAGGCTTTGAGCAACCTGGTCTAGTGGAAGGTGTCCCTGCTTATGGCAGGGGGGTTGGAACTGGATGGTCCTTCAGGTCCCTTCCAACACAAAGAATTCTATAATTCTATGATATATAACGCTTGTACTATAAAGACCAATTCTAATTCTCTGCTATGATTTTATGCTCTGCATCAGAAGATACTAATATTTAATTATTTAGGCTGCAGCTGACAGTTCTCAATTTATTCATCACACTGTGACTGGTTAAATATGCAGCAACATTACTGGAAATTGTTATCTACTGTCAACATTAAGGCCTGACACGGGGATGTGGTAAAATACAGTGTTTATCTTGGTAAAGTGATAATTTGACAAAACAGAGGATGTCAGGATAGTAATAAGCATGGGCTGCTTTTCACCTCTAAAGAGGTATCAGAAGAAACTCTTGAGCACAGTCAGGTAGGACTTGCCAAAGACTGAGTATGAAAACAAAGAACAGCAATAGCCTTGGCGTTGCCATAGATTTTTATGGCCTTCATCAAATTGTCTGCATCCTTCATGCTTCCATTTTTCCTTCTGAGAATGGGCACATCATCCTGCCCTGGTGGCACAGCTAATCCACTGGATACAAACAGGTACAAACACATTAGAAACATTATTCTCTAATGATAGGAGTAAAAATTAGAATAAACAAAGTTTTACAGAGCATTATGAATCGTGTCAGGCTGTAAGATCAGCTGCCTCCAAGACACCCTCAGTATGTAGCCACCACTAGATGGCAAAGTTATACTGCTCTGTCCGGACACTGTTACTGATCTTAAAATCCAAACTGTGCTTTTAGGAGTCTCAAGACAGAGTGAAGAACAAACCAAGAGTGTCAATAAGCAAACCAAATATTTATAGTCATGATTCTGTAGTCAAAAAAGACGGCTTGACAAATTCAAACTAGTTAAATTATAGCCTATTGATTCACAGTGAATTGTACACTGGTGTAACTTGTTCTCCTATTGATCAAGGCTGTAGGAGAGGGAAATTTACTTCTCAAAGCACTGAAAGCTGGAACAGACCACAGTGACAAGAAAAATTATCTGGCTAGATTGGATGTATTCATTTTGTTTTCTTAATGTGCACCATCAGTGGGGGAAGCAGTAGAGCTGCTGCAGAATTTTAACAAATCAACTGGGGTTAAGGGATTAAAGAATTCCAGCCACACTTACGTGTCCATCACAACTGCAATACAAATATAAACCCTGAGAGCAACCCATGCCTTTTGATTTGCAATTCTGCGTGAATGGAACGGGAATATGGTTTCTGAGGTCAAAACTGTTGAGTGCGTAGATACTTTAAGTGTTTCTAAGTTTCATGAAAAAAAAAATCATGCAGGCACTTTTGAAAACTTGCATTGTGAGTTTGTTTGAAAAATACAAACAGAAGTGTTTTCAGCTCTCAGTAATTATACACAATTCAGTCTAACATATTTCAAGACCAGCTATGCTAGCACTCACCCATCTGGAAAACATAATCAGCCCTTGAATACATTTGTAACACCATTGTCTACATAACCAGGTTCAGGATAACTCATTGAAGTTTTATACTTATGGCTATAAAGTACTGAGAACCAAGAATCTAACTATGGCATGGAACCTAGAGACAGATGGCCAGCTTCAGCATTCATTCAGATCTGTAAGATTTAGATTGCAACTCAGAAGGGGCCACTGTATTACAGCCAAGTTCTCTGACACTATCTTATAGATCTGCATCTCTAGCATAAATCAGTCTGTAGGTGTAAAGTGACAGTTTCCTTCTGCAGGTATCATCAGACTCCAACATACTGGGTCTATACTGCAAAGAAATGCACACAATCAACTTCAGTCAAGGAATGGAGCTGGAGAACTTTTAAATTAAAACTGAAGTATCATGCTCACCCCAACTTAACATGTTCAAGAGGCAAAATACATTATTTTAAAATGCTGCAGATGGTTGCCTGCAACACCTTTAAAAAGCACACAAAGACTTCCAGAGTTACCATCTTTTTAAAATTTGATTCTGATTTATCAGTTGTGGGTGAGGCACCTGCTTATCAATTTATACAAATTTGAATACACTTAATTTACACTGAGATGTGCCCTCTAACATGTGCTGCACAAAATCAGTTGCAACTTACCTGATCCTTGTTTGATGACAGGAGCTGATGGAGGTGGTGGTTTCTTCGGTCTCTAAGATGTAATAAGAGAAGAAATCAGATTGCTTCAAAATGCCTGTAAATCTCATTCATACAAAGGCTGGAGTTAATAATAAATTGCTTAACAATAACAATTACAAGACTTGAGACTGCAGATCTGTCACATTTTCCCTGAAATAACTTCATTAAAATGAATTTGAATAGAGAAAAAGGCATTGACAAATAAAATGACATTTTTCTACTTTTGCAACTGAAATATCCTGCTGATGGGGAAAAAAAAGTTCTGTTTATGTGCCTTAAGATTACAGAAATACATGACCTTTGGTTTACTCAAGAAACTAAAAAAATTTCATCTTACAAATATTCCAACTCATTTAAAAAAAAAACCACCACAAAAAACAGCTTGATGTGGCAAAACCTGAAGTGAGTTTTTTCAGACTCATAAGTGGGTCAAAAATGCAGAATACAGGAAATAATGCAGAGGTTACCTTTTATTCACTCACTGTGGAACATTTACAGCACCCATTGTGAAAGACAGTTAGCAGAGTTTTAGGTGTTTGGTGGAATTAAATAAATTATTCCAACCGACACTGTACTTTATACTTTTACCTTCTCTGTTATGACCATTTTCCTAGCAGAACTGTAATGGTATGGCTGAGAATATGACCAACAAATCAGTGCTAGGACCGTTTCTCTTCACTTGCAGGCTAGGGGAGGAGTGGCTTTCCTTCCATGCCAATGTGTGTGTACACACCACACTGGCATTCACCATACAGAACTCAGAGTAATCCAAAACCAAATGGAGCACCATGCCAGCTCAAATAACATACTGTCTCACTCTTTAAAAAATAATAATCTGTATTATTGAGAATAAAGCCTAAGTAAAAATTAATAATTGTTTTCTTCATATGCGCATCCTTTTTCCTGAGAAGGACCTTATTTCCTTTGCTACAGATTGATCAAAACTACTGTCACTCCGCTGCTGCTATGCAACACTGTGTATTGTCTTGTGCAACCATCTGTAAGATGATCTTTCAGATATGTGTAGCTTTGCCAAACTTCAACCAACCATTTAGGTTGCTATTTTCTATCAAACTCATGTTAATTTTCCTCCCCCTCTCTATTACTTTCTGCGTAGCTGCCAAATGGCTCACCTAATTTCAAGGAAGTTCAATTGTTTTGCTCACTTGCAGTAATTAGTTTAGCCTCTGCCCTAGAACTCTCAAGCCTCAGCCTGAATGTTGACCAGGACCAGGTTTTCTGTGAAGGCTAGAGTCCTTGCCACACCTTTCCTGGGGAAACTCTCAATTTGAAGGGGGAAAAAAAAAACCCCAAATCCCACAGCTTTGCACAGACTGAGTAAGCCTAACAGCTTAAATCTCTGAAGTTGCCATCCTGCAAACCTCAGGTTCCTCCTACCACCTTATCTTAACCACATCGCCTCCTGTCATCAACCTGAGAAAGCTGTGGCCAAGAACTCAGGAGGTCAGAAGGATCTTCTCTAGCCTGGCTCAATGCCGTGGGCCATCACCCATGAACAGTGAGTGCCTTTACTCTCAGACACTCCTGCAAGAATTTAGGCAACATGATTCAAGGTTTAAATGCAGAAAAGTGCAGAAAAAGTGTGGAAAGGAAAGACAACAGGGACCATGAATGTCTTGTGATGGCAACTGGAGGTTTGGTTGATAATGACTGCGGAGTGGAATAGTTGGTGCTGCAGATCCAGCAGCACAATACACACATTTGGTGGTTTATTCTGGAGTGGTGTGAGCCTGCTCCCACTGACTGTCCATACGTCAGCAGTTGGAATATGAGGTGCACTCTTTTAGCACACCTTTTGGTGTAGTTCTTCATTTAAAAGGATTCTAGTTCCTGTCCCCTGAGACCTGTCTTCGAGTCAAACCAAAGCATAGCATGTGCAGATGGACAGGTGAGAGACTCACTACAAATCCCACATCCGATTAAAACTAAAACACTAAAGTAGAAAAACACAAAGGAGGAAGGACCCTGTGGTTCTAATTAGACAAAGTGGTTTTAAATCGAAGTTGACAAGGGAAACACATTGTTTCAAACTATCAGGAAGGAGCCTTAAGATTGCGGAGGGAAACATGGAGAAGCATTGAGGAATTACAAGGGTCTGTGGCTGGATGAGATAACTGAGAAGGTGATGGAGACAGTCTAGAAGTGAAGCCAACAGAAAGGAAACCAGGACTGGTTGGACAAGAAGAGAACAAAACTACAAAGCAGGGACAAAAAGCGAGAGGGGAGAGGAAAACAAGCTGGATAAAGAAATTTGTTGTAGGGATAGAAAGTAAATCCAGATGGTGATTTGGACACAGGTAGTGAGCTACAGGGAGAATCTTTAATTGAGACCACCTGAGAGGTGGAGACTGTAACTAGGCCGTGAATAGAAAGGCCTGGCAGAAATAGCCACATGTGGAAAAGAATCAGGACTGGAAAATTGAGGACTGAAAAAGGAGATGGGAAAAGATCTCAAGTTTTTGTTCAACAAGAAGACGACCTACTGCAACAAATACTTTCAGACCATGGGACGGAATCCAAGATTTCTGGATCATGTCAAAAAATACCTGACAAAACCACTGAAAAAGTATCCATTTGCTTTCCTCTGAGCACTGATTCAAGCAAAGACAGAGAGTCTATAGTCCTACCAGCCACTTATTGTTGTGGCCAGATCTGCGCCACTTTAAAAATTAATAAAATTTTATTCTCCACAGTTAGAGCTAAATTACCTTCAATTCCTAAGTATCTGAATATTTAATTCATTTTAAAAGTTATATTCATTGTACTCTAAAGAAGAAAACACTTGAAGATATATAATTTATAAGTTCAAAAAGACTGAATAAATTTCACCACCAAAAAAAAAAAAGGGTAAGAGTAAAGGTTTTTCTTCTTCTATAATAGGCTCACTGTGTCTTAAGGTTTATGATTTGTGCCTCTTCTGGAAATCACCTTCTTTTATTACTAGGCCTAAAGCCAGGATATCCACTCTGCTATGGAATTGCGTTTTCATCTCCCACAGTTTTTGCTGCTTTTCTCCCTTCATTTTCAATGATTATCATGTTAGCTTTTGTGAGTTGTTTAATAGTTGCTTTATTAAGCTTTCCAAGTTATTTAATTTTTGCCTCCGGCATCCTATTTTATTGCTGAAGATTGAAGCTGAGTGTCAGTAAGTCTCGGTTTTATCACAGAAGGCTTACACTGTCACTGTGAAATACTCATCAAAAGCCTGACTGCAAGCCTGTAATATCCCAGTGATGACTGAAAAGGTTTCAAAAATTGGAATGGACTTTTGGGGGAAGTAATCCATTGCTTTCTTCTAGGAAGCTGCAGGACTTCTAAATATTGCTTGTCAAATAACAACATTCTCTCTTTCAAATAAATAGAAGCTGAAAAAGCTTCTGCACAAATTTTATACCTTCTTTTTTAATAACTCTGAGAGACGTAAAGAAACATGCCTCAGATAGCAAAAGCTCATTGTTGTCTTTCAAATCTCACAGTTAAAATGTCACCCTTTTCATTCTGGAAGAGTGCTTGACTGCTATCAATCAGCATGCCGGTGGTACGCTAACTTTTCATATTCCACCACAAAAAACAATGGAGGAAAGTTAACAATTCTGGTCATCATTGCATTACTTGACTCAGCAAATTACCCTGGAACCTCCAGTTCCTCTCTCTCAAACTCAGGATGCAGGACAGAGGGCTCTCAGAGCAACACAGCCGAGGTGGACTGACTGGATGGGCCATTCAAACCCTTCAGAGAAATGCCATAATATGGCTGAGTGCCACACATTCTCTTCACGGATGCTTTGTAACCCAGTCATGTGTGTTCTTTAACTTCTTCTGTTATTAAGTTAGAAGTAAAACTTTGTCAAAAATCACAAATCCAACAGAGAATTCCTTTCAATTCCACTTTCACTCTGTATTCTAAAGCAAAAATGGGGGGAAAAAAAAAAAGAAAACCCATTGCTTACCTCTTTTTCAAAATCAGAAGGAAGAAGCTTGACAAAGTTATCTGGAAACACACCGCGTCTGCCATTGAGTTCTCCTTCCCACCAACCCACATCAATGCAATCCTACAAAACAGTAAAATAAAATGAAAACCACAGCGTCCCTGTGCACTGAACAGATTTGTGTGCTGAAGTGCTCTTTTGCATAATGTTCTGCCTTTTTGCTAGAAGATGACAATTTACTGGAGTGCCAGGTTAACAGGGTAATCTGCCAGATAAAAACTTCAGTGATCACCCCGCATCTTGTTACCACATGGAGCAGCTAGGAAAGAACAATAAACATGCTGTAAGAGCTCAAGAGCTTGTCTGTGTCTAAAGCAAAGCACGATTTCACCATTTGATCTTTGAAACCAGTAAGCATTTTCAGCATGTCAGATATTATTTCTCTCCGACTTAATTTTCCAGAAAGACTAACTTAATTAAACATCAGATATCCCAGGAGGTAAAAAAGCTTCTTTATTTCCGATACTTTCAAGAAAAGCTTGACGCATTAGAATTACTTCTGAGATTATTGAATTTCATCACAGTGCAATTAAGAAGGCATTATACACCTGATCAATATCAAGCATCACCTTTTTCTGCAGCATTTTTGAGCAGCACTATGCAGTGTGTGTAGTAAAATATCATACAGCTAAATGCTCACAGTAAGTGAACTATTATGTGAGTCTAAATGAAGAAAAAAACAGTACAGCTATTTCAGTAATTAATAGTAACAGAAGCCACAACCATTTTAGAGAAGGTTAAAATTGTTCCTTAAGTCCCAGATTGTAAGCTCTATGTTTACTCATTTTTGTGTTTGCTAAAGAGAATACTTCCAGTTGAGATTTTCCACATTCTTCTCTGAAAGCTGTAGCTGAACCAATTCAGCTGTTTTCAAACACAGTTATGGGAAAGTCACCCATTGTATGCTCAGTCTTCAAACCATTTCAGCCAATATTAGCAGTTGCTCACCACCAGGCTGACCGACCTTTCTATCCTCTTGAGCAGCAGCCCTAGATCTTCAAATGGCTCAGAGCCATGCAATTAGTAGTGCATGCCTGAGACACAAGGGAAAGGGAAATCCCACAAACAGCACATGGGTTGGACAGGACAAAAACTCGCCAGGGATATCCCCATTCTGTGACTGCCAAGGCTAAGCATTGTCGGGTTTACAGCTTGGATCCCACACCATCTGGTACTATCCACCTTAAGCAATCACTGTGTCATCACTGCTTCCACAGCTACAGATGGGGACTCACCAAACGGTCTGCACCTACCAGGCACGTCCAACTGTCCTGGTAGCAGAGCCACACTGGAACTGCTCAAGAGTTTCACATTGCTGGATGTTCCTATTCTAACATTTCTAATCCAACCCTGTGGAAACTCTCTCAGATTTAATGAAGTACTTTTCAGAAAATCGCATTTCAACACTGTTCAGAAGAGATCAGCTGAAATTTAGCAGCTGTGTGGTCTGAATACGTGACAGTACTGATGTAGCTCTAACAGTTGTAGCATGGGGCATGGTCACTGTTCCAGGTCATCCTGCGGTTAAGGATTCTCCATGACTCACTGCTGCAGAAACGGATTGGTCCTTTTCCTGTAAAAATTTTATCTGGGCTGTGGAAAAAGCATGCTAATGTATAAAGCTGGCTCATTACAATCAACTGTCTCTTCTTGCTTTTCAGTAAAGTGAGAGAGCAAAAAAGCTGTGCATCTGGAAGAATATAGGGACAAGCACGAACAGAGGGGTATAGATAGAAGTAGGCAACAGCCAGAAGGTGGCTCAGGAGAAAGGCTGAGGCAACAATACGCACAAAATAACTATACAGGTTTTCACAGAGAACAAAGCTAAAAAAATTGAACCCATGCAAACTAAACAGGCCAAATTCTACATGCCCCATATATGCTAAGAAGCAACATCTCCCCAGAAACAGCACCGGACCAAGGGGTCCAGAATCTTAACATTCTTGTGGCGCGAGAAAATAGCTTTAGAAACACCAAGTGGAAGTGCTTGTCTTAACACTGTTTATCTACACGCTTCTGTTACAAAATCATACCAGTTGTGCAGTACCTGTAAAAGCTCTAGGTTAAAAGTATCAGTCCCAAATCGGTCAGTTGTAGCCATGTGTGTAGGGGAACAGAGTATCCAAAATGAGCAGACTTTAAAATACAGCCACTCTGATCTTCATTTCCTCCTCTGCCTAGGAACAATCATAGCATGCCCTCACGACTTAGACAAGTTTTGAACATAAATGCTTACAAGGCATATGCACCCTTCAAAAGCACAGAGGGGAAAACGTAAGAGGAAAGTAAGTATTTCTTGGTCTAGAAGTAGTAAACCATAGTTTAAGTAGGGGAGATGATCAACTAAAAAAATCTGAATGTGCATGAGACTGCATGATAATTCATGTATGCAAAATGGCCTTATTGTTGTTACATTTCAATGAAACCGTTTGTTTCAGCCGCTACACGGATGACAGAAGAACGCAAGTTAACTTAATGAGGTGTACTTCATACCAAGAAAAGTCTTAAAAATATTGTTCACAGTGACTGTGCTTGTTGGTATTATTCGGCAAGCTATAATGCATACACATTGGATGATACTTGAGTGAGATTTGACATTAAAGACCATCATTGCTTCTGTGCTTGCTTTGTTTATTTGTTTAAAAGTTATTTTTTGTTCTAAGCTTTTTATTTACCTTACTTAGTCCACCTCACTTCCTGAGATAGCGTATGGGCTAACTACAAGCTAAATAGCCTGGTTTTTGGCGTCATGTCTGGTTTGGGTGTGGGTTTTTTTCCTTCGTATCTCAGTATTTTAGTTTGATGTAATGTATTCCTCATCTACAAATGCAAACACTTAACAATCCTTTCATTCTTTCTCGGGTCATTTTCTCTCACACTTAATCTGTGTTTTCCTTCCTTCTTTTTAGCAGGGTGGCCTTCACCAAAGACGCTTACCTTTTCTAGACCTTCCTGGGAATTATTTAGGATATGTTTCCCAGTTCTGTTAGCCTGCCAAGCCTTTGTTAGCGAACAAGGCTGATGCTCAATATTTAAAATATCAGCTGAAGGAACACAGGGCTCCATGAAGGACCGAGATAATCAGCTAGTCATGCAGTGAACGGGCAGGCACTGTGAGGGATTTTACTCTTACCGCAGACCCAGCACCTCTCATTCCTGATGTGAAGGTGCCCTCCCACTTGGCTCCATCTACTTGCGCAGCCTAGTAATCAGTGCACTCAACTGTTCCATCACATGGCCTGTTTTATAATGCCCTCCACCCCCTCTGCCGCTAATCTGAAAATGCCAAAACATTTACGACCCAATTTAGAGTCTGAAAAATATTAAGAATAATTCAAGCTTCCAGAGATGAAAAGCTTGTGCTTCAACTGATTGTAGAGCTTAGTACTAGCTAATAATCCTGACTAAACAACATACATATATTCTTTTTAGGCTGGATTTTTTAATGCTCTTAGGAAACATAAATCTTACTCCTATTTCTTCATTTTATTAACAGACATGAATTTTGTATTCAATGCTTTTTTAAAACCTCCTTTGTTTTCATGAAGATGCTGTTTGTGTTACACGTTCATTAATCCCAAACAGCTGCAGGTTTGCTTTTTTCTCCTCCCTAGCTTGTTGCTCAGGCTTATGCAGCCAATCGCTGTGCTGGATTTGCATACAGTGAGTAAATCTTTGATTTTACTTTATTTGCCAGAGGAGGCTTCTGTGTCACCGAGCAAAAGAATAGGAAGAGATCTCAGAAATTACAGATGAGATCTGGTGAAGAATCTCACTGGTGGTGCCTTCCTGCTACCCACAACTGCAGGCTCGCTGTGCCTCAGCAAGTTCTGGAAGCTCACGTAGGATGCTGGCAGCAGGCACGTCTTCATCACAAGACAGACCACCATACAAGGATCCCTGAGTTACAGCTGCGTAAGCTGCCTCAAGTACTAAGAAATGACAGAGCTATGAAGCACAATGAAGACAACACAGTTAAAACAATGTGGCTGCCTGTGAACACTGAGCAGAAGGTACTCCAGTACTTCTAGATCCCTATCAGCCATGCAATCCTAATCATACTGTCATTTTTAATATACCTTCACATGTTCAAGGTCAGCAAAATGGCTGTAATTTCAAAATGCAGATTTTATACAAAAGCTGTCCAGCTATTACAATCCAGCATCAATATTCCAAAATTTATTAACCCAGTCGATCTCTGCTTTATCTTCCAGTTATCCTCCCAGACTCTAACAACATAAACAGACAAAAATCAGATGCTGAAATATCCCAAAAGCTCTATGAAAAAAAAAAATCTATTCCAACTACTAAAAATGCATTTTAGTCTAATTTAAGGGGGGGAAAAAAGGAAAACAAAGGATTTACAAAACCGAAAAGTAAGACATGGCAAAAAAGCAGGAGTTGTGTTTGGCAGATACTAGAGTTCATGCAAGTTAGGTAGTAGCTGGGCCAGCATTTAGCTACTGTAAAAATCAAAGCTTGCCTCAGAGACGGTACTCATGTACTCACTGCAGTGACAGTGCAATCAAATACCTTACAGAAATCCACTGCCAGTTCAAATTGCCAAACCTATCTTCATTGTTTGGGCAGAGGCAGAGTCATGAAATAGAGAAAACAGAAATCTAGAAAGAAATATTACCATTTTGTCATTGAATCACAACCCTTAGTTTTATCTTCATTTCCAGTGAAGCAGTTTTGTTCTAAAATCTTTGTAAGAGATAAATATTACACAAAATATAAGGTACCAAAATGTCAACCTGAGCTGGAATTCTTATGTAAGTCAGAAAAATATTACAAGAGGAAAGGTCAAATGTGGGAGAAATGGCAAATACCAGAAAAACAGAATACAACTTGCTTTTGTCAACATGTTGCCAACAATATTAAGGGTATACAAAGGTGAACTAAAAAAAAATTCAGTCCTCTTCTTCACATGAAGAGTAAGAGGGACAGAACTATCCTTCATGCAATTAGAAGTGAGACACGCAAGCTGTGAAAAACACTGTAAGAGGGAATCATCTGGATAAAACAGACTTGTTTTTGCAGAAGGGAATATTAAAGCCACA